GGCAGCGTGGACTCGGATGAGGAGGAGCAGCAGCAGCAGCAGCAGCCACCCCCAGCCCCGAGCAAGGCCAGCACCCCCGAGCAGAAGGACTCGGGCCCCTCCCAAGGTRGGGATTGTTGGGGTGCACCCCTGGGATCCCCGAGCTCTGTGCACAGCAGGGCTCCCACACTGCCAGCTGCCCGTGGAGAGCCCCTGATCCCTGCTGGGCATGGGGAGATGGCAGTGCCAGGATGGGTTTCACTGTCTCTGGGATCCCTGGGCTGGGTTTCTCTGTCCCTGGGATCCCTGGGTTGGGTTTCTCTGTCCCTGGAATGGGTTTCTCTGTCTCTGGGCTGGGTTTCTTTGTCCCTGGGCTGGGTGTCTCTGTCCCTGGGCTGGGTGTCTTTGTCCCTGGGCTGGGTGTCTCTGTCCCTGGGCTGGATTTCTCTGCCCCTGGGATCCCTGGGCTGGGTTTCCCTGTCCCTGGGCTGGGTTTCTCTGTCCCTGGGCTGGGTCTCTATGTCCCTGGGATGGATTTCTCTGTCTCTGGGAGCCCTGGGCTGGGTTTCTCTGTCCCTGGGATCTCTGGGCTGGGTCTCTATGTCCCTGGGATGGATTTCTCTGTCTCTGGGAGCCCTGGGCTGGGTTTCTCTGTCCCTGGGATCTCTGGGATGGGTTTCTCTGTCTCTGGGCTGGGTTTCTCTGTCCCTGGGCTGGGTTTCTCTGCCCCTGGCTTGCTCTGGGCTGGGTTTCTCTGTCCCTGGGAGCCCTGGGCTGGGTTTCTCTGTCCCTGGGCTGGGTTTCTCTGCCCCTGGCTTGCTCTGGGCTGGGTTTCTCTGCCCCTGGGCTGGGTTCCTCTGTCCCTAGACTGGGTTTCTCTGTCCCTGGAATGGGTTTCTCTGTCCCTGGGCTGGGTTTCTCTGTCGCTGGGAGCCATGGGTTGGGTTTCTCTGTCCCTGGAATGGGTTTCTCTGTCCCTGGGCTGGGTTTCTCTGCCCCTGCCTTGCTCTGGGCTGGGTTTCTCTGTCCCTAGGCTGGGTTTCTCTGTCCCTGGGCTGGGTTTCTCTGTCCCTGGGCTGTCTGGGGCTGGCCCCAGGCCATGCAGGGCACTCAGGCTGTGCTGTCCCCAGGGGCTGGCTGGACGGCTGTGTTTGAGCCCGTGAGCCCCACGCCTCCTGTGGCCATGGACGTGGGCTCCAGCGTGTGGGACTCGGCCGCCCCGCAGAGCAGCGCCCCGGAGGAGAAGGGCTGGGCCAAGTTCACAGACTTCCAGCCCTTCTGCTGGTAAGAGCCTCAGCATTCCAGCTTCTTGGAGCTTTGGGATGGGGGATATTTGGGATATGTTCTGATGGACTGTGTGGCTGTAATCCTTTCCTATTCCCATCGCTCCCCTTTTATTGTTTAATGTTGTCTGATGATCTTGGATCAGGGCCCCAGTGCTTCCCAGTGCTTCCCAGTGCTCCCAGCTGGGGCTGGCACTTCCTGTGTCCTCCCTGGGGTATCAGAGGGATAAACAAGGTTTATGGAAGGTCAAAATA